GAGTCACTCGAAATTTTACGAGATGCAATATTTCGTCTCTTTGACGATACGTATTATTACCAAATTGTTACAGCATCTTCTTCGTATTATTCCCGAAATCAGTACAAAACTGGATTTTGCAATCCGGTCGTCAAAAATTTATAATATATAAATAAAGCGCCCGTCGTACCAGGCGTTGGAGCGAATCAATTGAAAATTCATTGTAGGAGATGCAAAATTTCACCTCTTTGACGATATGTTTCACCGCCAAATTGTTATAGCATCTTCTTTGAACTATCCCCGAGAAACCTACAGAACCAAATTTTGCAGTCAGGCCATGAAAAATGTATCATAAATAAATAAAGATGTATGAAGCGTCGGAGCGGATCACATATAATAGCATTGTACAAAATGAGATATATTCCTTCACTGATGTAATATATCATCATCATATTGTTATAGCATATATCTAAAACTATTCGCAAGATCCTCACAAAGCCAGATTTTGCAATCGGACTGTCTAACTTTTGTTATAAATAAATAAAAATGTATCATGCGTCAAAGTGGATCATGCGAATACAATTTCACAAGAAGAAATATTCCGCCTTGTTGGCGTAATATATATGTAACCGCGGAATTGATATGGAATATTCCTTGAACTATTATCGAGGTCCCTACAGAGCCAGATTTTCATTCCAACCGTCAAAAATCATATATTAATAAAGCGTTTGTCGTATGAAACATCGCAGCGAGTCCTGCGAAGTACCATGTTACAAGAAAAAATATTTTACTTCTTTGCTGTCATATAACAGCACCAAATTGTTATAACATATTCCTCGATCTATCCTCGAGGTCTTTACAAAGCTAGATATCGCAATCAGGCCGTCTAACATTTATCATATATAAAAGACTGTACCGGACATTGCAGCATGTCACGTACAATACAATTTTGCATCATGAGAAATATTGCCTCGTTAACGTAATATATCACCATTAAATTGTTCGGCCGTTTTCCTTGTATTATATCTAACGTCGCTATAAAGCAGGATTTTGATTATTAACGCACATATATATATATATATATATATTATAAGCGACTGTACGGGACAACAAGTAACTGTTATCTGTTAACTCCTATAAGTAACTATAGGAACCATTAAAGTTGTTGTAATATTAGAAGTTTACTAATGAATTTATTTTTATTTTTTATATTTCAGGACCGATTTTGTAAATATATATGGGGGGGGGCAGGGTACCAAATTTCAAACATAACAGGTAAAAAATCTTGAACACTATTGTTACGTCCTAGAGGAGGAACGCAATTTTTTCGTTCGCGAGTAAGGCGAACCTCGTTCATACACGCGTGTCAGTGGACGGGTCAGAGACCCGACGGGTCCCTTTACTCGGGCACCGACGTACGACGAGCGATTCGTTTTTCGGTCAGGGACGCGAATCCCTTTACCGGGGATAGGACCATGAGTTGACTGTTGGAAGGGTGGGGTGATTTTGAAATTAACTGATGGAAATAAATTAATACCAAATTTATTAAAATAAGAGTGACAACAGAAAGTTATGCGGCGCGGTTTATTACAATTTACTTGAATGATGTTGTGTGTATGTGTGTGTGTATGAGAAGTGAAAGAAGGAGGAAATAATAAAAAAAAAAGGAAGGAATATGAGTAAAGAGTTAGTAAGCAAAGAAAATGTAACTTACTGGTGATTCCTGGGATGCGAGAAATGGACAAGATATAACGGTTGATAGGCGGCTCCTGCTCTGTAGGTTGGGATGGGTTGTGCGACTCTCTTCCAATTGTCCAATTATGGCACAATAGCACTGATTCTAAATTTTTATTTTTGTCCCCAAAAAAAAATAAGACAGAAGACGTAAGAGTATGTGTAGTGCCGAAACAAAACCGAAGATGAATTTGAGTCTAAGGACGCGTTTTTACAGGTCTGACTTTTGAATCTAGAATCTAAATGAATGTGAATATGCTCTTTTTCCTGTCTCTCAGAATAGAAGTAGAAGTAGTGTCGCGGAGGCGGATTACCGCGGTTTTTACAGTGATAATCGGAGGCAGAAGCTATCAGGGGGGGTAGAGAGATGGCCTTTGAGGAAGGGGTGAATTGGTCTTAGTGGGAAAAAGTCTCAGCCATTAGCGAAGTTAAAAGACATCGTGGAAGGAGACAGTTAGTTTTTGGAGATATGAATATGGAAGGGCTAAAGGGTGGAGCGTGGGTCATAGTTTTAGGTGGATATGATATGATTGGCTGAATGAATTAGGCGCGACAAGCGTGGAGGTGGTGGATTCTTGAGATAGAGAAATGTATACAAGTGGCCGGGTGGAAAAATCAAAATGCCGTAAATCAAAGGCTGAGATCAGATTTTACGACTATCAGTGAAGTAAGCTTTGTTGGTTGACTGATAGGCAACTTATGGTTTTGGATTGGGAAGATGTAAGTTTCAAGTTTTAGAGCAGGAATGCTCTGTGTTGCTTTGTTTTATTGAAGGTTTGTTAGCGCGGAGTTTCAAATTTTTATAGCTAGGACGACGGACACACTTGGCGAACACTACCCAGATTTAAACTTTAAACGAAGACGTAGATTTTTACAACAGGGCACTGTTTCCTGTTATGGAATTTTCCCGAATCGCCTTTCATTTGGCGCGACGGCTGTTCGCCAGATGGGTCTGTTTCCTAATTTATATTTATATATGTATATATTCCTATTATAGTTATATTAGGAGAATATAAATCCGCGAGAGGAAAGAATTTTTACTAATTAAATCTACAGGACGTAGCACTATGAAAGATACTAAAAAAAGCTAAAATACGTGTCCCATATTTTCGAAGAGGAAACAGAATGGCATTATCAGTTTTTTATATGGAGGGCATTTTCAAGGTGAGTTGAAGGTCAACTTAATTTTTTTAAATAGAAAACCCAATTTTTTATCATATATTCTTTTTCTACCAATTAATTTTAACAACTTTTGTCTGAAACATTTTTTATTTGTCTAATATTTTTTGAAATATTTAATATTTAAGGAAAACTTGGTAACTTTTCCAACATTTAACTTACGATATCTCGCTAACTATTCGTCGACAGAAAAAATAGTATTAGACTTTTTTACTTTATTTACTATCAAGAATATATTATTATAATAGTCCCCTAACTTTTGTTAACTTATAGACCTTTGGAAATTTCAGAATTATTACATTAACAAAAGTTAGGACACTATTACAGTAATATATTCTTGATTATAGCAATATATTCTTAAATGTTGAAAAAGTTACCAAGTTTCCATTAAATATTTCTAAAAAATATTAGGCAAATAAAAAATGTTTCAGATAAAAGTTCAAATTAATTGGTGGAAAAAGAAGATATAATAAAAAATTAGGCTTCCAACTTAAAAAAATTAAGTTGACCTTCAACCAACTTTGAAAATGCCTTCCAAATAAAAAATTGATAATGCCATTCTCTTTCCCCTTCGAAATCATGGAATACGTGTTTTAGCTTTTTTTAATATCTTTCATAGTTTTCCAGATTTCTTACCTGTTACGTTTGAAATTTAGCACCCTATATATACAGGGTGTCCCATTTTAAGTGTCCACCCCAAATATCTCTCTTATTCTTTATTTTAGAGAAAAATGGTTCAGACACGTTTTGTATGGTTTCGAGGGGGCCATAAGATGGTGCCATTGATTTGACCTTGAAAAGTCATTTGAAGGTCACGTGAAGGTTATCACAATTTTTTTAGATGAAACCCCCTATTTTTTATTACATATTCTTGTAGCTGACCTCGAGAGCTTCCCAAAACACTATAATCAAATGTTTTCTGGTGAAGTACTTTTCGAGTTATAAAGCTCCAAATTTACAAAATTTTGATAAAAATACAAAATATTTCGTAAAACATTTACTTTCCGATAGTCTTATTTTACATGATCCAACCAGTCAAAGCTCGGATCTTGTCTTGAGTGGCTGGATCATGCTCGGATCTTGCATTGACTGGTTGGATCATGTAAGATAAGACTATCGGAAAGTGAATGTTTTACGAAATATTTTGTATTTTTATAAAAATTTTGTAAATTTGGAGCTTTATAACTCGAAAAGTACTTCACCAAGAAACATTTGATTATAGTGTTTTGGGAAGCTCTCGAGGTCAACTACAAGAATATATAATAAAAAATAGGGAGTTCCATCCAAAAAAATTGAGATAACCTTCACGTGACCTTCAAATGACTTTTCAAGGTCAAATCAATGGTACCATCTTATGACCCCCTCGAAACCATACAAAACGTGTCTGAACCATTTTTCTCTAAATTAAAAAATAAGAGAGATATTTGAGGTGGACACTTAAAATGGGACACCCTGTATATTTACAAAATCGGTCCTGAAATATAAGAAATAAAAATAAATTCATTAATAAACTTCTAATATTACAATAACTTTAATGGTTCCTACAGTTACTTGTAGGAGTTAACAGTTAACAGTTACATGTTGTTGTCCCGTACAGTCACTTATAATATATATATGTGTTAATAATCAAAACCCTGCTTTATAGTGACGTTAGAAATAATACGAGGAATACAGCCGAACAATTTGATGGTGATATATTACATTAACGAGACAATATTTCTCATGTCCCAAAATTGTATTGTACGTGACATGCTGCAATGCCTGGTACAGTCTTTTATATACGATAAATATTCCAAAATTGTATTGTACGTGACATGCTGCAATGCCTGGTACAGTCTTTTATATACGATAAATGTTAGACGGCCTGATTGCGAAATCTGGCTTTGTAGAGATAGGCGGCTTCGGCACCACCGCCGCTGCTACCGGTCCCCTCTTCGGGTCGGGGGCCGGTTGAGGAGGGAACTTCTTCTCCTTCTTCCTCTCCTTCCTTTTCTCCTTCCTCCCAACGACCCTGCTCCATGTCTCTGGACCTGAAACAGGTTTCTAGGAGGCGGTCGCCGGAATTACCTCTGGGGTCCCTGGGACTTGGCCTGTTGTTGGGCCTTCATTCTTCTTCCCCTTCTGGTTTTCTAGCTGCCAGGATTCGCCGTTGCGCCCTTTCGATCCTGGCCCTTCCCTTCCGCTGCCTTGGGCGGAGCCTTTTTTATAGCCTGGGGGGTCACTCTACTCCCTCCTGGCCCGGTGTTGGGATCGCTAGACTTCTGGCCTCCATCCTCAGTTCTCATCCTGCTGTTTCCGCTTGATTCTCGCCTCCCGCTCCTTCCTTGTCTCTCTCCTTTTCTGGGCAGGAGTCCTCTCCTTCTCGCCGAAGAGAGATTTCCCTTATATTGGCGAATAAAGGAGCTCCGCGGGAAGGGGGAGGGACTATCGGTCAGGGAACTGAGGGCCCTAAAGGCCCAGGCCTGTGCCCGGACCCTCGACAAGTGGTCTGCCGAATTGGCGGACCCACGAGGGTTCGGGCGCTGGACGGCCGAGGCTGTCCGCCCCTGCCTATCAGAAATGATGGGCAGGAGGGGACGCGGGCTGTCCTTCCATCTGGTGCAGGTGCTGACCGGACACGGATGTTTCAGGAGGTACCTGCACAGGATCAGGAAGGAACCCACCACCGAATGCCATCACTGCCCGGAGCAAGTGGACTCGGCGCAACACACGTTGGTCTCGTGCCCCGCATGGGACTAGCGGCGCCGAGTCCTGGCCCGGGCGGTGGGGTGTAAGGTGGAGGCCCTCTCGCTTCCGCGCATGGTTCGCGCCATGTGCGGGAGCGAAGAGGTGTGGGGGGAGGCGGCCTCCTTCTGCAAGGACATCATGTCCCAGAAGGAGGCCGCCGAGTGGGAACGCCGCCCCTCCGACTATCCTAGGAGATGGCAGAGGGGACGGGGCTCCCCAGATTTAGGGAGCGGGCCCGAGGTGGCGCCGGCCGAGGAGGAGCAACGATCTTCGGGCAACCGAGGATCGCCTCCTCGGTCGCCTCTGGCCCGCATGCGGACGCGCGGGGGAGGGTCGTCGGGGGGAGGTTGTAGACCCCCTCTCGCCCTCTCCCGGGCGTCGGCGAGGTAAGGTAGGGGGCGGGGCCTTCTGGGAAAAGGTCTTGCTCCCCCGCCCCCTCCGGAGTGGAATCACTCACGAGGAGGGGGCGGGGAGGGAGGGTAGATGTCCCCTCTCTCCCATAAAGTACCGGAAGGCCAACCCGATCGGCAAGTCGATCGGGGCACAGCACCCGGACCCTCTTCCAGGAGAGGATCCACACGGGTGCGGTACTTGGGCGTGGAGCTCCGTGAGAGTCCTGGGACCGGGGTGTTGGGGAGGGAATGCTGGCGCAGTTCCCCCAACTTCCCCCATCTCGGTCTGACTGGTAGACATCCCGCAGGAGTTTTAGTGAGTAAGAGTCTCACATAACCCTCTGCCCCTCCCAGGGGCCGGAGGGTACCCATGATGGGTTTCTCCTGCGTTATAAAAAAAAAGGAGTCCTCTCCTTACGTGTGTCATGCCCCGAGTGAGCCTGACGAATTAACCATAATTAATATACATTATATAGGCGAAAGTGCCATGCGAAGTTGCACTTCCGCCTGCGCCGCACGTGTTGCAAGCTAAGCATCACGCCACCCAATGGAAGTCCAAATAAGGCAATAGGCAAAGACGGACCGTCTGCATGGACGAAAATCGCAAGTGATGTGATGTTTCCGCAAAATTTGCAAGATTCCTTCGGCGACAAGTCTATAAATCGACTGCCGTCTCCGAAGGAAGTCAGAGCCTGCCAGACCATCCGGCCGAACGAACCTAACGTATATCTATCTCTAAGACTACATTTTGTAGCGTGCTAATAAAGGGTTAAGTCAATAAAGACTCCTTTCCAAAATAAACTAAGTTTTATTAAGACACCTTCACCACTGCTTCGTTTTCGATCCTGCAACAAATTGGTGGCAGCGATGGGATAGTTTTAAAGAGTGACAACAAGCCTGCATCTGAAACAAAAAGCGAGAAATATTCGTGAAAAATATTTCACGGAAAACAGTGGTAAAGTCAAAGAGGAGAGTGAGTGAATAAGAGGCTCGAAACACACTGAAGGAGCGTCACCAACGAGAGCAGCAGTCAGCCAGGACAGCCGCCAGAAAAATCGTATTACGACGACTACTAAAGTGGAACCGAGGCCGATGGAAAACTGCCGACCCTTAGAGGGGCACCAAGCAATATCGTCCCCGGAAAAGCTCACCAAGGAGAGAAAAACTCAAGCTGTCAACGCGAATATCAACTACTGGGGAACCGACCAGGGGCAACAACCAGCTGAGCAACGGAGATAGCGACATCGAACTCAAGAGCGATAGCGAGACTGCGACACCGAGGTACTGATCTACCGCAACAGTATCACTGTCCAGACGCCAGCCAGTTAAGCCGTTCGCAGCACAGCAACATGCAGTATGCGTTAATGTAAGTCAGAAACGAATTGAGATCATAGTATCGCGAAAAATATTGCGAATGTCAGAGGGACGTCTAGAGTCATACGCACATTTAAAAAACAAATCGTGGTTGCATAGTGAACCCGCTTTACACTCTGTCAGGCGACTCACGCAGATTCCTACGATTAAGCTATTGCACCTTGCTGAGTCAGTCGTGCAAGATATCGCGGAAAGCGTTCAGAAAAACTTCGAACATTATTACTCTTCTGAGGAAAAATTTGATTTACTCAACTGAGCAAATATAGCCACACAAATTGACAAAGCGGAAATTGCGCCCGATGCTTCCCTCATAACTATCGACAAGTACGAGTGAGCGAAAGCGTCCGTGATAAAACATAAGAGCGCGAGGGAATTAATAAGTCGAACACCTAGTAATCTCTCCCTTAGAGGAGACTTCTTGTTATCATCGTACGATAGCGATATTTTCGATCCAAATCAAATATTTAGTGAGGACAAAATGTCTGTTACACCACCACCGGGTACGTCCGCGGAAGTCCTAGGAAACCGGGAAATGCAATACGCGATTGACAAGGAGATCATCCATCTGCGTAGAACTTTGACTACGACACCAATCAACGGGATGCAACCGTCTCGCGAAAAATTCGCGCCGCGATTTGAAAACATTCAGTCGAATCAGGACCGACCACTAACAGGAAGTTTAGGAAAAGATGCGGATCGACTGTTTGCCTTACTCAAAATAATTATAGAAGGGATAGGGGATATAAAAAACACGTCCGCCACGACAGCGCAACTACTCACAAACGCAAAGAACCGTCGGAACAGCTCTCACCGACGCTGCGCCAGTAGAGCCATTCGTATACGAACGAGATTCTCCTAACAGACTACAAGAGATAGATAACGTCGACCGTACACTAGGGAATCACGCCGGGCTGCGCGAAGCTAAGGACTATATCCCCCTTTTCGACGGGTCGAACGAAGAGAAACTAATGGAATTTCTCACTGCGTGTGACTACGCTTTTGAAATTATACACCTTGCAGATGAAGCTGCACTAGTACGGGCGATAATTTGCACAAAACTAAAGGGAATCGCCCTAGTTGAAATAAAAAATCGAGATCCGCGCAACTACGCCTCGTTAAAACATACATTAGAAGAATATTACGCGAGAAAGAAGTCTAGTACGCGATTACAACGCGAGTTCAATTACGCACGACAGCAACCGGGGGAAGAAGCGCGTGTCTTCGGTAAACGAATAGAAAAATTAGCGACCGAATTATTTACGGCAACCACCGAAGGCAACGAATATTCAGAACACGAAAAAGTCACGATATACCGGTATATTAAACAACAGGCCCTTATAAATTATCAGCTGGGGTTAAACGAGAAGCTTCAAACAATAGTACGCTCTCGCGCCCCCGCGACGTTAACCGACGCAATAACCGAAGCCGTCAAAGAAGAACGCGTAAAAGGGGCAGGAAATATCCACAGCCGCCCAAATGATATCGCGACCACGCGATACCGTCGATACACAGCTAGTATGCCTGCGCGGGAACCGCCCGCCTTGAAGTGTTTAAAGTGCGGAAAGCCGGGACATACCGGGCGAGAATGCCGGAGCAGCCGATATGGGACTCGATTCTCACTGCCCAAACCGGAGGGCAACGCGCGCGTTAACAATGTAGTTAAACATTGCACCCACTGCGACAAAACGGGACATAACCGTGAGGAATGCCGAAACCTCTACGGGAGAACGACGCCCGCTCACGCCACAGGCGCTGAAAAAACGCGAATCCGAGCCCGCAAACGGTACAGTTCCGCGAGAGAAAAGATAGCCTCGCGAAGAATACACAGAGAGACGGGGACAGCGACCGCGACGAAGATCGCAGGCGACGCAAACCCCGCAAGCCCGCGCGTATCCTATAAACCAACTACAATCTCGAAACGATAATAACAAAAGAAGAACGGGATTAGAGTTACTTCATTTAACGGTGGAACAGCTTAAAAGGGAAAAAACACCGTTTCTGCTCGATACTGGCTCCGCAATTAGTTTCATCAAATTACGAAATATCAAGGAAGAAACCTTGATCGACGAGGATCAAATCGCATTAACCGGAATAACCGGTCACACGATATACACCCTCGGAAGATTTCGCGCGACGTTCCTGCTAGGAAAAGCAGTTATCAGCATATTATTTATGTTGTGCGAAATGACTTCCCTATTGACTATGAGGGAATATTAGGGATTGATTTCTTACAGGCAACAGGAGCCTACTGTGACTACAAGCAAAGACAGATCACGATAAAGGATACATGTCTGAAACTGTATCCTCATACGGTCCTCCGTTTAAAACCGCGCTGCGCGACGATAGTCCCCGCGATGACCGATAAAAATGAAGCCGGGTTAGTATATTCTAAAGAATTATGCCCTGGACTATTTATCGGCAACTGCTTAGTAAAGCCTACGAATAATAGCTGCAAAATCAGCATACTAAACACCACCGAGGAAAAAATCGAAATGGGCATACCGTACGTAACTCTAGAAGCCCTAGATAACTTCGTGGATGTATACGCAACGCGAACAAGCTATCGCAACGCGATACCTAAATCATGCGCCGACCGCGTAAAAGAATTATTGCGT